CAAAAATTCTTCACAAGACAAAACGAGAATGTGAAATATCGATATTCAGATGAAATGTATTGTTGGTACTAGGAAGGCAAAATTTGCCAAAGGAAAAATAAAAATATGGCTGCCAATGTTACCAATTCCCCCTACAGGTGTTTTTAGACTAAGATAGAACACAGCTGTAAAGTACAACAAGTGAGTGATACTGTAGCAGAGGTACAGCTTTTCATTACTATTACTTTACTCTTCTGGTAATTTTTAAAAGCAAAAATACTTATTTTACACTATAAGGGAAAATAATATTGCTTAACTAAAATGTTCTCTGGGGGTAGAAAAAAATAAAGCAAAACAAAAGCACCGGTGAGAATTTCTCCTTAATGCTTGAATTGCTGACCAGTATTACTGGGTACACTGTATTTGAAGAGGTATGAACTTTTCCTCGGGTATGCTGATGGCACCAGAAGATCTGGCATCTGCTTACGGACAATTGCAACATGAGATTTTTCACTGGGTTACTGAAGCAATTTTCAATTGACACACTTTTCTGAATTTAGCTGATGGCAGTTCCAGCATATGGAGATCAGTTGCAACGTGAGAGACGTTTCTCCAAATAACAAAAATACAAAGCTTATTAATTTTAATCTTTGAAGGATTATGCATGATATTGTATAATTATGATAATCAAAGCGTAAGTCTGAATGGAACAAAGTTTAAAAAACTGACTTTCTGCTTTCTCAAGAAAAATGGATATTGAGAGATAATAAAACCCCACCCTCCTGTAAGAACAAGATTCATGCAGTAGTAATCTACCAACGTTTCTTCCTGAAAATAAAACAAATTCTATATTGCAGACTCAAAAATATTTCAGGCATTTTAAACAGATGTCAGAAAGTCCTGCCTTAAATCAATCTGCACACCACTGGACAATGTATTACTCAAGAAGAGTATTGGTAAGATAGGCATGTATTTTTTGCAACAGAAAAAGTTGAGACAGTTCATGAATTGTCAGAATGGTCCTAGCTGGACAGAAAGTACCATACTAGGAGAATGCTTTTAACGCAAATTTTTTGGTCCATTTTCCCATGATATTTTAGTGCCTCCTTTTCATTACTCCAAATAGTATGCAATATTCTGTTCAGTTTGCTATTATTTTGAAAAATAGAACAATTCTTCAACTTTGAAGTTCATTTAAATGGTTAAGCAGCACCACAAGCCTCAAAAAGGATTTAATTAAATAAGCACTTCAGGATTCACTCTACCTATAAAAATGTTTGAGCTTTAACAAGGAAACTGAAATATCCTCAGCTGTTCCTAAACTCTGCTTATATTCTAGGCAGATTATAAAAGTATGACAGGTTTTTTGTCTAATTATAATATACAACAGAAGTATGCTGTTCTTGAGATTCTCTGAAAAGAATAATTTAACCAGTTTTATTATCACAAAATGAAGAACTGCTGAGAGGTAAGTTGTCTACAAGTTTTAAAAACATAAATTCAAAACACTATTTTTTTTTACACATTTCCTTTTGCACATAGAAAAAATGAAGAAAGATAAAGTGACTTTATAACTGTATTCATTCCAGTAAAGGGGCATATATTTCACATGATGGAACAAAAATTCTTACCCTGATGGACTGACTGTAAGGTCCTATGCTGGCAGGTGCCCAGTGGGAAATGCTCTGTACATGCATGACCAGCTTTTCATCATGTACTACATCATCTGTTGCCATGTCATACTTATGTGCAAGGCAGTCAATGCAAAACAGCACTCCATCAGGTAACAGTGTTTCCACGCATACCCTGAAAACCCAAGATAATTATTTTTTTTCAAACAGAAGTTTGCTTGAACCAACTTCCAACATTTATTTTCCACTTTTGTTTTGTCTGGACGTTATCTTAGAAAATTTTGCCCGGATCATACAACAAAAGTTAGAGTATTGCAACAACTTGCTAGCATTAACAGTTATCTTCTCAAGGACACTGCTGGCTCACAGACAGCTTCTTATCCACCAGAACTCCCAGGTCCTTCTTTGCAGAGCTGCTTCCCAGGACTTCAGTCTCCAGCCTGCAGTGCATGGGGTCATTCCTCTCCAGGTGCAGGACCCTGCACCTGACTTTGCTGAATTTCAGAAGGTTCTTTTCTGCTCATCTCTCCAACCTGTCGAGGTCCTACTACAGGGCTGCACAGCCCTCTGGGGTACTGACCACTCCTCCCAGATTGGTGCCACCAGTGAACTTGCTGAGGAGGGATCTAATATTGTACCTTGGGGCACACTATTAGTGACAGGTCTCCAACTAGACCCTGTGCCACTGATTATGACCCTCTGGCATCTGCAATTCTGACAGTTCTCAATCCACCTCTCTGGTCACTCATCCAGTCCACACTTCCCTATGAAGCTGCCAAGTGACAGTGCCAAAGTTTTCTAAAAAGCAGTAACTTATAGTTCCTTTACAACCTTCTCACAGGTTATTTGTAAAACTAGCATATTTTTCTGCTATACTTTAAGTTGCATGACAGATACATACATACGACAGGACTCAAAATCTACTTAAGCATTCATTTATAAAGTTCACTTTTGTTTCCTCCAAAGAAGACTGAGTGTCTTGATGAACAGAAAGACGTGTGTTGCATGTGACCAGTTAAAAAGCAGGGGGAGTTGAGGGTCTATGTGAGGAAATCAACATTTCAAAGCCTGAAAAATAATTATATTTGCAGTCCATGCATAGAAAAGTCATTTAGCTCCCAGCAGGAATGCAACAAAAAATTACTTGTTCTCTTTACATATAATGTAACAGCCTTATAAAATTCTTCCCATCTTGCTTATTTCTTCCAAGAAAACTATTTTTCTCCTCACCTCCTACATGTAAATATAGCACATTTTCCTCATTACCATCATCATAAGCATGGATGAATGGATTTTCTGTTTGGGCTGGTAAATTTTCAAGACAATTTTGCAAATTTATTGCAGATCCACACCCGAATCAGTGGTTCCAGCATACTGCTTGTGAGAACTTCCACAACAAGGCCTCTGTGCATAATGCAATGATGCAACCATGCAAACTGCTGTATAATTTTTCTTCAGGACAAAATGCAACATTGACAAATATGCAACATAAACACAATGCTGTGGAAAGGGACCTGAGGACCCTTGCCAGTGGCAAGTTGAACAGAGTCAGCAGTGCCCTGACAGCCAGGAGGGCCACCTGTGTCCTGGGGTGCATCAGGCACAGCATCACAGCCAGGCAAGGGAGGGGATTGTCCCCTCTGCTGTGCCCTGAGGCAGCCTCACCTCAAGTATTGGGGGCAGTTTTGGGTGCCACAGTATAAGAAAGATATAAAGCATTAGAGAGCATCCAAAGGAAGGCAAAAAAGATGGTGAAGAGCCTTGAGGGGCAGCCATATGAAGAGCAGCTGAGGTCACTTGGTCTGCTCAGCCTGGAGGAGATTTAGGGGAGACCTCATTGCACTTACAGCTTCCTCATGAGGGGAAGAGGAGGGGCAGGCACTGGTCTCTTCTCTGGGGTGACAGTGACAGGACTGAGGGAATGGTGTGAAGTTGTGTCAGGGAGGTTTAGGTTGGATATTAGGGAAAGGTTCTTCACCCACAGGGTGGTTGGCACTGGAGCAGGGTCCCCAGGGAAGTGGTCACAGCACCCACCAGACGGAGCTCAAGAAGCTTTTGGCAAATGCTCTCAGACACAGCATGTGACTCTTAAGGTGTCCTGTGCAGGATCATGAATTAGACTTTGACAATCCTTGTGGGTCCCTTCCTACTCAGAATATTCTATGATGCTCTGAAAACTGTTTGCTCTATAAAAATAAAAGTAAAAAGCCATTTTCCTGCAACTTCCTAATCTTTCCAGCTTTTTATTTTATTGATGGGAGGCTATGTAGCTGGCTATGCAAATGTGGAGGCCTAAAACATGCAGGCATAAGAAATGAAAGTTAAATTGTGAGAAGCTGAGTACTATAAAGAGAACCTACAACACACAGGAGTGGAGACTAATTTTGTGTAGTTTGCATCTGGGATTAGATCCCTCCTCTGAAGGCATACACAGCCAACCCTCCCATTTCTCTCTGATTTAATAATCCTGGCCTACTGTCAGCATCTTGAGAAGTCTCTCTCTGCTTGTTTTGGGTCTGACACCCAGACAGTGTAGTGGAATGTAATGATTATCTTAACAATGTCTGAACTATTTGTCTTGCTACACTTAAAATCCACAAGACTCTGTTACACTTCATATTCATAAGAGTATAAAATATGGGATTTTTCATTAGAAAATTGCTGAACAGTTGGTCTTAAAAATATGAAGAAGACAAGAGGTGTGACCACACGGTTGACCCTGCTTTTAGTGCAGGATTAGACTAGATGGCCTCCAGAGGTCCCTAGCAAACTATATTAACCTATGATTCAAGTGAAATTTCTCAAGCTACATCAGTTCTGCATTCTCAGCATATTGTCTCAGAAGCATAAGAAATTACTGTAAAAAATTACAAATAACTGTAAAAAAAATAAGCCATTTTGACAAAGGCAATAAAAAATACAAACAGAAAATTAGTTTTAACACACATCTTTTTAAAAAAAGAAAAAAATTAATGGGCTAGGTGTTTTTTATCCAATTTTCAACAGAAAACAAACCCACCACATCTGGATAACATAGAAATCACATAGGACACACCTAGACCACCAAGAAGTTTCATTATGTCAGACATAGACTTGGATGCAACATAGAAGATTTTGTACAACACATATTGAAAAAACTATGCTTTGTGTATCTATGAATTAAAGTGTTATCATCAGTGTAATTTCTTTTCACAGTTCTTACTGAACATGGAAGTGCAGCTAAGCTATCCATCTAGTGTGATTATCTGAGGGAAACACAAGATAACAACCAGATTGGATTGAGCCAAAGATCCATCTCATCCAGTATTTGTCTTCAACCAGAGCCAAGTGCATATAGGCAGGGGAAGAAAAGAAACAGACCAAATATAGTTTTGAAATAACTTTCAGTATCTCATGATGTAAATCCCAGGCAACTGCTCAGGTAATAATTTTGCTTTAGTATTTAACAAAATAAATGGAAAAAAGTGAGCAACATTTGACACAAAGACTTAGAAGGTTCCAGAACTCATCACTTTTAGGAAGACTTTATATTGGTAGTAAGGCTCCAGTAATGCTTTTGACACTTTCTTCTGTAACACACTCATAGAGAAATTTTTGATGTAAGGGCTGGATGAGCAGAGAGTGAGGTGGAATGAAAATTGGCTGAACAGCCAGGCCCAGTGGGGGGAATCAGTGGCACAAAGTCTTACTGGTGAACACCCAGGTGCCTACACTGGGTCCACTCCTGTTCAACATCTTCATTCATAATCTGCATGATGGGGCACTGTATCCTTGGCAAGTTGCCATCTACATGGATGTTCACAGGATGAAAAAACAGGCACACAGGAACCTGATGAATTTCACCAAGGAGAAGCTGCAAGTCCTACACCTGGGGGTGTAACAAACCCAAGGTCCAATATATTCTGTGGGCCCACTGGCTCAAAAGTAGCATTACAGAGAAGGACTGGAGGTTCCTGATGGACACCAACTTAAGCATGAACCAACAATGTGCTCTTGTGACAAAGAGGTTTGATGATATCCTGGGTTGTATTCAGAGAAGCACTGCCAACAGGTCAAGGGATGCAAAAAAGAAAAGGGATGCAGAAAAGAAAAGCAAATAAAATCCCAGCAGTACAAACAGTTGTCAGTTCAATCAAGTCAAAAAGAACTAAGACTTGCAAACCATGTATTATCCTTCTGTAAGTCCATATGGGGAGGGGGGCATTTGTAAACCTTATGGTATATATTAAAGCTGGAATTTCTAACCCTAGTGGTTTTGACATGAGCAGCTGTGATGTTAATACTCCAAAAGGCAGCAAAAGTCTTCTTCTGTGAGACACAAACATTTGGCAAAATGCTTCACAAATATGACAATAATTCAGTCTATCACAGTGCATCATAAATATACTATAGCAGTAGTCTAATCCTACCTTGTTGGTGGACACAAATCAAATTCTGTCACATAAACTGAGTTTACAACACTGAAATCTTTCATGCTCTTCATATATAGATGAACCAAAATAATATCCTTCAGTTTTAGTCCCTCTGAAGTCAAATTAGCTGCAGAATAAAAAAAAAAATATAAACTGTTAAAAACAGAATATTGTGAATGTATTTAGAAAGACAGCATAGGCATCCTGGTTTTGTTCAGCAAAACCAACTGGCAATAACCTAACTGTTATCTAAACATGACTGAAGATTTTGCAATATACTTTCCCCATTTAATACTTCTTTCTTTACATTCTTTCTCATGTTAATTTTCCAAATACACAGAAGCAGACTACAAAATAAGTTTTAGCCACTCTGAGCAGTGGTGAATTCTCGTCTCATGAAAACACACCATGCATTCATGCATGTAGATACGTTACAGCCTGAATTACTTGTATCCATAAATTTGATTGTCCTGGGGGGGCTTGGGGTGGGGTGCTCATTCTGTGACAGCTAGTAATCTACAAAGGACTTTGAATCACAAAAATACAGAACTGGAAGGGACAATAGCCGTCTTCAAGAAAAAGATCAAATATTTATATGCAATTCCAGAGGGACGCTTGTCTAAGCTGTTTTTTAAAAACTCTCACTGCAATAATAATCTCTGCATAAACAAAGAATTATAAATGGCTAGACAGACAATAGGAAACAGAAGTGGCCACAGGAGAAATGAAGGAAAGATGAGAGCAGAGGAAAGCTCAAGCAGACAGCTAAAGAAGAGAAACTGAGAAGTTAAGATCATCTGAATGTGTATGCATAGAATATTCCAGACATAGTACTCAGAAAGAATGTATTACTCTCATACATACAACAACATAGACAGACATGTCATCATCTTTGCAGTGTCCCTTTTGTAGCTCATGAAAATAGAAACTAAATGAAGAAAAAATCTTCTCTGAATATAGAACATATATAATAAGAGAGTACTCTGTGACCTAATTGAAATAAGCCATGTAAAGTTCTTAGAGTAATTTTGAGCATCTTGCCCATTAATGTTACAGTGTATACATACATATATACTTATATATTTGTTTTTCAGTTGAGAAGTACAAGGGTATAAAGACAATCTCTGAATGTTGTCGCCTTAGTGAGAAACAGTTTTTGTGTTAAACTTTGCAGTGCTTTTAAAGACTGTTCAGGATTTTGCACACTTTCATTAAAATTAGTTTGGTCACACCAGTACTGAATTTTGTTCTAAATGTCTCAGTTTTACTTAGTCATACTGCCAATAACAAAGGCAATCTGAAGAGGGGAGTTCTCACTTACAGAAAAGAAAGTGTGCATAAGTGATATAAGAGGCTATAATAGCAGTTGGAATTTCATAGAACGCCTATGAAGTTCCAATACAAATCCAGAAATATCACCTGATAAATTAGCATACCATGGCAATTCTGTATGGAAATAGAAATGCATTTGAATTCTAATTGATAGCAATCACTAGGTCAATACATCATCAGTTAAGGAGGAAACAAGGACAATTTTTGAATTTCCAGCCAACACTTTAGTCAAGAAGGAAGGTCTGCAGTTAAAAGTTCTGCAGCTTTATATGAACTAGTGGAGGGGGAAAAAGCCCTCGATCAACTGATACGTACCTCCGCACACACAAACTTCCCCACTCTAAATTTAAAATATATGAGCCAAAAAACTGAATCTAATTTGTGGACACAGAGTTAAGCTGAAGGGAGTGATTTGGGTAAATTCATAATTTCTACCTTACTTAAAAATATCTCCTAAGTAAAAGTACTATCCCTTATTCCCTTGCATTAATTAGAAGAATGGTGGGGAATAACTTTTCCCCAGCTTACAATCAAAATAAAATTGACTCCCAAAACACCTTCTCTAGTAGAAAGGCATACCTGATGAACTGGTTAACAAGTTCTTGGGCTCTTCACAACTTCAGTTTTTTCAGACACAGTACCTGAAAAGGTTTCCCTGCGTTCCCATTGCATCTGTCCTGGATATACAGGGAAACCTTACAGACTTTCAGTTGAATTTCAAGCCATTCATGGTTTCTAATAATTTATAGAATATGATCAAGTGACACTCATCCTTACTTAAGCTGAACTGTCCTAAAAGGTTACCTTGACTGAAGTACAGCTTTTTGATTGTTGTTGGTTGGTTGGTTGGTTGGTTGGGTTTTTTTTGTTGGGGTATTTTTGTTTGTTTTTTATTAGATGTTATCCAGAATCCTTAGCTGACAGTCACAAAATACAGTATCCAAACTGTCTACAGGAAGTAGCATTTAAGAACTTTAACCAGTTTTAACGTAATAAAACTGCACAGTTTGCTTCAGATTATGAAACTATGCCATGGTACATCTACACCAGAGCTGCTTTATATTATATAAAGCAAAGCAATCTTTGTCATCTTCCAATCATAGCTAAAAAAAAGTTTAATATGTGAGTTTAGGAAAACAAATGTATAAACAGCAATACACTGCATTACCTCCCATTCTTGGCTCCATAGAATTCTATGCATTCTACAGAACGTTTCATAGCATCTAGTAGAAAATTTCCATTTCCAAATCTTTTTGTCAGCACATATTAACTCCAGAGGTGGCTAAATCAGTTAGCCCAGCAAAGAGTTTAAAAGTACTGTGCTTATTCCATTCTCACTACAGTGAAGTTGAACTGCTGTACAGATTCAAAATACGTGTTCTGAAAAAGCCTTAATCTGTGCACATTTGCAGATTAAGTTCTCAGAAGCAAATTGTTTTGTTTGTCATGACAGAACCATAATTCATTCAGTTTCCACACCCACTTCCAAAAGGAGAATAACTAAAAGAAATGTGAGAACTGAAATTTTCTGCAAAGGATCAGAAAACTACTTTTTTTCCTTACCATCATACAGGTAAGGCAAGTAATCTGTTGAAAGCAATAGGTAGGCTACTGCACTAGTCAGACACAACTTTTTTGGCCGATGCTAAGGCAAAATTACATAATGTTTGTACAAACTAACTACCATTCAAATATAATGAGAAAAAAATAAAAGACTGCAAAACCCTCTTGCTTCAGTTAATAGATGATATGCAGATTTACACTAAAATCTACTGCCTTTTTCTGTAAAAGTCTGATCATCTCCACCTTGTTGGTTTCCCAGCAATCAAAAACTAGCTTAATGGCCTTCCACCAAGTATAACTTTGCTTCTGAAAAAAAATTCTAGGGTTTCTTTATCATCCTATAATCAATCATGAATACTCATGTGGACATGCAAAAAAATTTAGATATGATAGGACAATATGTCATGCAAATTCATAAACAAGAATGTGAGTTTACCGATTTAGATACTAAAAATTATTTCAATTTTTGTGAATGAAAAGAAGCCTGTACAAACATACTTTACGGCAACTTTAGAATGAAAAACTACAAAACAAAACCATGAACATTTTATTTTATATGTGAGAATCATGTAAGGAACCTGGATTTCATGATTCCCAAGACAGCAATTTTGCCTTTACATCAGGAATATAAATTATATTTACTGCTACTGACCTAATCCTAGATGCCAAAATGTATATCAGCTTTCTAGAAAACTTAATTTAATTTTATGGAAGCTACAAACGTGTTTTAGCAAGTAGACAGCATCTATAGCACACATACGTACACACACTATATATTTCAAAAATGCTATAAAGAGAGCAAGTACTATGTAAATAGTTTTACAGTGAGATGAAGACTACTCTGTCTTTCCAGGGCCTTCAAAGCCAGTCAAATTATGATGTGTTAAATATTAAAGCTGGCAGTCTTGCTATGAAAGGTTCTAATCAAATGCAAAATGAGATGGCAAACCATCAACCACAACCTATAAAGTTGTAAAACCACATGAAAATACAGATTCTTTCTTAAACTCATATTAAAAACACAATCAGTGACAGCAGATAATGTATTAACTGAATAAAGCACCTCTGAGAGAAGAAAATGCTTCCCGTGCTGCATCTGGAGCATTTTTATCCTTTGATGGAAGGAAGTGGGCAGTGATACCTGTAAACCATTGGTAACCATTCAGGGATTTTCCTGATTTTTGAAGTGTCTTAGCTATGGGGAATGAAGAAAAGAACTATGATTATAACAATGAAAGGTTTCAGATTAACCAAAGATACATTTTAAATTGTTTAAAGAACTTCAACAGAACAGAAATCCACAAAATAAAAACATCTTCAAAAATATTTACAAACAAATGGAAAAGCAAGGGTTCTAGGAGCAAAACCCTCAAATCCTTCTCCAACACTGCCTTCACAAAATATGCATGCAAGTAGCACATTAGCTGAGAACTTCAGTACTTTTTCTCCTCCTTTCCCTTTTTTGCTGATCTTTTGCAATTTCTTGACCTGTTTGGTTACAGACTTGGCACAAGACATGACACTGAAAAGCTAAAATTTCTGAAATATTCAAGTGGCATAAAAACAGATTTTCAAACTTGTATGCCAAATTTTACTGGAAGTTAGGTGCTTAACCTGGTTCTGACAATCTTTGCAAATGCATAACATGTTTAGACATTTTTAAAGCCCACCAGGCACTTCTCTATATTCAAGAAATATCTAAGACCTAAATACTATTCAATACCCAAATCCTGTCAGCTGTGAAACTTAGTTTTCAGGAAGTTTACCCATCTGTGTATGTAGTGTAACAGAACTGTTGTGGTATTTCCAGGAGGAGGAGAGGGAAGTGAAGAGGGAAAAACGAAAGAAAAAATAATGTGCTATGCTCCTGTAAACTAACTTGAAATGCTTCACTACTATAGATCTATTGATTATTATCAGAAAAATGCATTCTAGAAGGATCCCTCTTTTCAGACGAATTACTACAGGTTGAGTACATTTTTTTCAGGAGTGTTTGGATAGTAATTAAGATATTCCACCTTCATGAAAAATCTTTTAATCTTAAAAAAAATAAAAACAACTGTGCAAAACTCACTGAAATACAAAGAGTTATGTTTCAAAGTCTTCCAGATAACTGAAATATTTTTCTGTGGTTCATATTCTTCTGATGAAGGAAAAATATCGTCATCCATGCAGCTTATCTCACAAGAACAGCTACTGACCACAAAAGTACCCAAGGATTCTTCCTGCTTGAGACAAACATTATAAAATAAGCAAGTAAACAACATGCTAAGCAGTATGAAATCAGCATATTTTATCATTCAAATACATGTTTAAGTTATAAAAAATATTATATAGTTCAACAGGTACACATCTTAGAACAATTCACAAAATAATAGCATTAGGATTTCCCATTAGATTGCAGGACTGGCAAAGCATAATGTATTCCTGTTGACATACAAATGGAAGAAAAAAGCAGACTTAGTAACTGAGGACAGCAGATATGAAAAAATGGTGAAACCCAAGAATAAAGACAGAAAGAATACTATTATAAAGAAATGGTATCCACAATTATATACTAAACAACTGTGTTTTCAAAAAAATAGTATAAACTAAGTGAACAAAGGAACAAAAGCACAAAAGTAATAATTTTATAATTAACATTGTCATTAAATACTTGAAATACAGCAAAAGGCTAGTAAGAAAGTTTTAAAACTTTTTGGAACAATGAATGGAGGCAGTCCATGTAAAAAAAAAAATCTCGTTCTATTATCTCACAAAGATATTTATCCTTTCCATAATATGCTTTAGTATGAGTTGAGATAACAGAAAAATGCATTTCCCAAGATCTATACATTGAAGTAGTTTCTTGACAAGGAAGGAAAATCATTCTTCCCAAATTCTTTCTCAGGACCAGGAAAACTACCCACATTACCTTTTAAAGAAACAAAAAAAACAAACCAGCCAGAGTGCTTACTGACCAGTCTTTAACAATTCAGTGCTCATTACATTTTCAACATGCCACATAATTACAGCATACATTTTTGGTGGTTTTTTTTTTGTTTGCTTTCTAATTTTAGAGCAATCAGAACCCTTATTCTCTCCCATCTGATTTTTCAATCAGCCTAATCTGCAGAGCATATTGACTTTTGGACCATTAGCTTGGGTAATACCACTTGTCTATCTACAAGCAGTATGAATTATGACAGAATTTACCTAGAAACCCTAATCAAACATCACTGCATGCTGTAATGCCAGATTCTATCCATTACATTTCTTCCCAAAGATCTCAAATTTCATGTAGTGTCTAAACTATACATTTTACTGCAGGCTTCTTAAATACTAAATTCATAAAAATTATAATAAATCCAGATAAGGCAAGATAAAAAGTTGACAAAACATGAAAAAGGATCCAGTTAAGTAAAAAGAGTGCATTTGGAAATTTTAAGAAAAGGCTAAATTACAAAAAGATCATTATCTGTGAGAGGAAACTCAGTTCTGCTGACTCTGAAAGAGGTCATAGGTAGTTTTATAAGCACTGCAAACACTAAGTCTATTATCTAAGAGGGTCTGATGTTCTTTGGACTTAATTTTATTCATTCCTCCAAGAAAGACATGAAAGTCAAGGCAATAATCTACTTTACATGAATCAATTGTACCTCAGAGGTTAAAAGAAGTCAAGAAGATGTAACACAATACCCCAGACAAAAACTGCAATTTAGCACAAACATGACACACATTCCAACATTACCACAGACAAGCATCCAGCAGCATCCCTACCATTTCCCACTCATTGAATTACACCTTTGACTACTGCCATCAGTGCATGCATTTTGCCATTACCCAGAGGGATGCCTGATTGCTCCTAAGTCCTCAGGTATTACTTAAAAAAATAAAGAAGAAGGAATACAAATCTGTAATTGAAAAAGATCCTAAGATGGTTTAAGCTACAAGAACCAAGCAAATTAAATTATTTTAGAAGTTTCTTATTGTTTACCTACAAGAGATCACTTCATGGACATTTACAGACTGTATAGCAGCATCACATGTTAGAACTGCTACCACTCACTTCTTACAAATTGTTGTTTTAATAAGTAAATTATTTTCACTGAGTAATTCGTAGACTCCGCCATGAAACAATCAATTTGCATTGTAGCATGGGCATTCAGGGAAGTTCTAATGTAACACATGCAGAGTCTGCACCTCTTGGTCCTACCCCCAAGTAAGCATGCACAGACATGGTGATATGAATGATGCCATCACACTGCTGCTTTGGGTTTTGTTTTTACATCACCTGGATTTTAACTTTACTATGCCATAAAAATGCATCAGAAGGGAAAAAATAGTTAACTGGAAAGGAAGAAGTTACAGGTTGCCAGTTTTTTACTCACTTTCATTAAGCTTTATATAATCACCTTTGAAGAGATCTACAGATACAACTATCTTCTAAGGCTGCTGTTAGAGATCTGTAACTTCTCTGACATTTTCCCTATTTTCCCTGACATTCCCTAATCAAAAGGACCAAATTCATATGTTCTGCAAATGAACATGTAAAGAGCACCTTTCCCATTTTTTTTGCCACTAGTTAAAATGCTTTCATCTATGTTTCTAAACATCACTTCTGCAGGATGTACTTCATAAAAAAAATTAAGGGTTTGAGCCTCACAGACTCTATCACAACTAGTTTGGTATAACATAGAGAACTCCCCTGTAGCTTTGTAATTTGTTAATGTTACAAATATCCCAAACTGATGCCATGTGAAATTTTCGTATCATCTACGGTCACCTTTTTCCTAAGTAACGCTATATTTTACAAATAATTTAGCTTCTATCAGTATTTTGTCACAGAGATAAATAAAATTATACATCTGTATTTCCACACATACATAAAAGCCTGTTCAGTTGCAAGATTTTTGGAAATGATTGCAAAATATCAGAAATCTCTTATAAGTCTGCAAAAAAATTAGGGATTTCTGTTGATTTCAATGCCTATGATACATCACTATGACTCATTCAAGGCTCCAAAAACATTGGTAATGAATCACTTCCCATGGCAGCACAGATGCAGGCTACAGCAGAAGTATTAGGTGTGTAACCTGGCACCCAAGGAACAAAAGGCTCAATGCCAGCCTAAGCAGAGCTGCCATACTCTGTTTAGTAGCTACATTTAAATCCACACAAATGCTGGTTCTCCATTCCTCTCAACAGAGGAAGTAATTTAAGAAGCTAAAACTTCTAGACTGCCACAGAGTAACTTTTCCTGAATAATATTCTCATCACTTTAAAAAGAAAAAAATCAAGCTTGCTATAATGACATTTTAATTAAATCTTACAGAACCTATTTTATCGCATAACATTTTCATGTTACTTCACAGAAGCAATATATTTTCCCATTTGTTACACAGTTTCTCCCACACCCACTGTACATTGTGATACCAACCTAATTTTGGATCAGAGCCTGCATGCATGCATACACTTAACTATATTCACATAACTCATGTCATTGATGCAAGTGTGCTCAGAATGAAGTTAAGCAAATGCACAAGTGTTCCAAGATCCAAATTCTCCTGTTGAAAAAGCCTTGGAGCTAGGACTTTGACTGATATAGCTGAAATTCCATGCAGTGGTCTTTTATGAAAACAACAGATTGTCTTTTTAAAAAGCTTACATTCTCTGCTACAGAAACTGGTATAAAAACCTATCACAACACAATTCTAAAACTGATAACTCTCCCACTGAACAGCAATAAGAATATAGTGGAGCAGAGAGCTCAGAAGACAAAAGATTATGATAATCTCTTTATTCTTTGTGATGCGCCTTGATAACAGAACTCCTTGAAATAAATATAATGAGAGAGATCACATGCATCTTGCATTATTTTGAGTACAATATACAGAATCGTAGGAAAGAATGTCCTTTATGCCAAAATACTTTCAAATAAAGTATCTTCATAATGAAAAGAGAACTAAAAATGATCTTTCCTCAGAGAACTGGACTGAATCTGCAAGCGAATAGAGTAGAAAAGAAAATCCTTTATTTATTATCTTAGTGTTTGAAATAAATCAGAGCACAAAAATTTTTTTGTGGTATTTGCTATCATGTTTCGAAAACAAAACTACAAGGGTTATCTATATTCTTATGCTGCAGAAGGGAAACTAAAGGTTGCCTAGAAGAAGTATAGTTCAATGATGACAAAGTATTCAAAAAATGCTACCCACAACGCCATTTACAAAATATGTTTTGAAACTTGAAACTCCTTCCTATTTTCCCTGACATCACTGACAAAGTCTAATTCTAAAGCTAAAGTTCTAAATGTAGATTAACTAAAATAATTAACGAGGAACTGGACAGAAAAAGGCTACAATGTTAAATCATATATAACCTATAGGATTACATGCCTTTAGTACACATGGCACACAAATATCTCCTGAAAACCTTTTCTAAACTTACAAGTGTACAAGTTACAGAATTATACAAGTGCTTTAAAATCTTCTCCAAAATTACCTGTACAATAGATCTCCTGCCATTTAACAGGGGCAAACTGCTTACACTTCTGACATGTGTTCCAGCTACAAGGTCAAGATCTTTTACAAACAGGAAAACACAGTATCAGTTTATAACAGGTTTATATACTGCAATGGTCCATTATAAGAAAAAGCAGCAGCAGGCATGATTCCTGTGTCTCTTATAGGCAAACAGGCACCTTACTTCTGCAAAGTGTAGAAAGAAAACTATGTTATTCCCTCTAATTCTGGACTATTCAAACTTAAGGGGTTGCAGCTTCCCATGTTTTATTGTTTGATATGTGTGTGCTCCCACTCACTGGAACTCGGAAACAAACTATTCATTATTAAATGTGGGAAAGAGCAAATGTGAAAGCATGAACCACAGCTAGTATGTTGACTACTGTCATCAGAAGTATGTTCCCATCAGCAGTAGCTCCAACAGCTTTAATTTCTGTTTCTGATCTTTACAAAGTCAACACAATAAAGTAAAAAACTATAGCAGAAAGTAAAAGCAAGTTCATTGTGTTGACAAACTAAAAAAATAAATGTTTCACAGTTGTATTTTTCCTAGTTGAAAACACTCAGAATTTACTTGTCCTTGAGTAGAAGGCCAATACACCTAATTTAAAGATTCTAGAATATGCTTCAGAACTTATCTCCTCCAAAAAAAAAAACTTTCTATATTTTAAGTGTATGAAGTGATTATCTAGGCAAAGTAAAATACTGATGAAACTTGGTATCTATATTATAGTGGTGACCTTGTTTTATGCTCTGAAGTAAAAGAGGCATTCCCAAATTTTGAGCATTAGTGTTTCATTATCATTCTTTTATATTCTTACTGTTTTTTGTAAAATGCCTACAAAAATTGTTTACCAAATTTTTAATAACAAAATATAGTATTTATCTCTTTAGCCTTCTCTGCATCACTATTTATAAAAGAAAAGTGGGTGTGTCTAAAAAAAGCTTCAATTATTATGCAAAAAACATCTTGAAGTTGCATAGAAATATATTAAACCAGAACAGTGAGTACAATGTTATGTTCCCCTAGGCACAAGGGCTCATTTTGCTGCCAGAAACAATCTAAACCAAATTTCTAAGCAGGCTTTGTAGTCAAACATGAAGAGATTTAGCTAAAAAAAAATGCATTATAGAGGAGGAAAGACAGCAGAGACCAAGGTGCACTACCTATAATTGCAAAATGATTTTAAAAGTAAATTCAAGGAATGCAAAATTAAGACCCGTAGCAAATAACAAAGGCAAAATTAATATACAATTCAGTTAAAAATATGTTTATCTCACAGCAGAAAAGATAACAAAACTGATGTCATAATACTTACTATAATTTCAGTTCACTGTGGAGTCTATTAATATTTTCTACAAAGTGCTTACAAAAGTGGCTACTTTTATACATTGTTCATAATGGTGTATTATTTTTCCCAATTTTAGTAATCCCTTGAAAGCCTCAAACTCCTTCTGAAGCAGTTTTTTTCCTGCAGTACTTTATTATTATGGAATTGGCTGTAAAGTGCTGAATACTAACTGATATTTAAATTTTTCCACAGGCTTATAATAACCAAATAGTGAACCAAAGTCCAATACTACAGGCATATCAATCTTGAAGGCATGCCTTTATTATTATGCAGTCAAATAATGCTAACAGTTATGGTCTGAAAGTCTGACTGGTTCTCCATATTTATAACTTCTCAAAAACTTAGCTTATTTTATCATGACATAAAATAATCTACAGCTAAAAGATCTTAATGCTTTTGCAAAAATCAGACTCTTTTCCTTTTAAATATACATTAGTTTATGTACTAAAATTCAGGGCAAACTGCTGCAAACCTTACTGCTTGCAAACTGTGACAGGTTTGTCTACAACAGATTGGAAATACGATTTACTACAACACTGCCTGAAACTGTGGGGCTTTAACCAAATCTAAAGCGTCTACATAAGAAGGGGAGAAGAGCTACTGAACAGATAAAAGTAAAATTGTGATTCTTATATCAAATATTATGCATTTTAATATGATTTTTCTTCTGATTTATGTAAAGCTTTGTGGTTTTCATTTTCCCTAGCCTGTCACATTTTAGTGATGTATGGTACATTTTAGCATCAAGTTTGCTATGAGCAATAAAGTCAGTGGCCCCAAAGAAATATCAATATATTATCAGTCTTCCCCACCATGCCACATTCCCAAATTTTCCTTTATTCAGCCTATTTGGTTTCTTTTTCACATAGTTTATATCCTTTTCACAGCCTCCCACACAAATGTTTAATGTTTTATGTTTGAAAGAAATCCAAAACTAGAAATTGACAGGATGAAATACAATTTACTTTCCAAGGCGAAATGAGGCCATCATGGAAGAAAAACACTGAGGTATTTTATCTGATTTGAACAATAAAATTTAAAAAAAAAAAAAAAAAAAAAAAAAAAAGGAAAGGGAAGAGGGGAAGGCATGATCTATTGAAAGACATGCAGGAAATATTGCTTAAGAGATATGAAATTTGAAATACCAATAGAATAATGTCCTGTAACAATTTCTGCAATTCTATCATCAAAGTGCAGAAAGGCATAAGAGCTATAAAAAGATGACTGCAACAATAGAAGAAAGCTCATGATGCACTGTCTTCAACAAAATACTAACACTTGTAGAGGCTAAGGAAGAAAAAAGAATCATTTTAACTGTAAAACAATAAAATGAAAAACAGAAAAGTGATGACAAATATTGTCTGTTTTGACCTTAGTTCTGTTCATATGAAAGTCTGCAACATTTAAACCACCAGAATTCTTATTCCTGTTCTGCTCTTTCTACAGAATCATAAATTAGCAGAATTAATTTCAACAAACTAATAATGATTCCTTTAAAATGTTTGACCAAGATAATCTCCACATGATTAGAAGCCCTTCATTAAGTGTATTTTTCATATGGAAAAAAATGTAAACCCAGAACATTCAAAACTCAAGCACTTACAGGTTAGCAAGTTTTTAAATCATCCACTTTACAACAGAAATATCAAAAAGAGATTCCACCTCCCAACAAATCAATACTGTTCATATGGTTTCCTAATACAGCTGTGTTCTAGAGTGCAGCTGTTGCACATGCGCTTCACCGAACCACATTTGACTGAGCCCCTTCAGGTTTTGAGATGAAAAGTGCCACACAAATATACTACCTCCATGCATTCACTTGACACAGGTGTGTCTGATCATTCCTAAGGGCAAGTTCTGAAATTCAGCTAAATATGTGCATTGCTATTTGAATGTAACATCTACAGGAGAATATGATGAAAGAAAAAGAATATTTGCATCCTACTTGCCTTATTCTCCAGGTGTAGTTTTAAAAAATGAAGGTAGGCCACAGGTGCAAATGCATCAGCCGAATGCATGACCACCTTGGCTGAATCTCTGAAATACAAAATTTTTATCATTAAATAGTATAGTATATATATTAGAGACTATATCAAACAGTATATATATAGAGACTACACTTAGTCACTGTATAACACAAAATCTAATGAAACTCATTGAAAATCCATTAATTTCTTATCAATGTTTTTATATAAATTAAGAAAAAGTAGCTTGTTATATAAAATTATACTGTTAAACAATACATTACCTTCAAGAATTTTCAAAAGGAATAAACTATACTTCCTGTGTGAGCTGGCACAGGAGATGCAGCAAGAACCATAAAACATCAGATGAAATGCAAAGAATAAGCCTGTTTTTGTTACCTCACCACCTGGGGCCCCTGAAGCAGTGTTCAGGCAGGGGCACAAAAGAAGTGACACAGGCACTGCAGGCTGAAGCATCACCAAACCTGTGGGTCCCGCCTGCATCTCAGGGATTTGCACAGGTGCAATATCCCACTGTGCTTTGATCTTCCCCACAGCAAGGCAGGGATCTCGAGTGTGTTCAATAGGGCCCCATAGTCTATCACAGGCCGATGTTACCTGTGTTATCTAAACACAGATGCTCTACTCATCCAACACACAAGGCCAAAAACAATTACTATGACACATGTGTTTTTGATGCCCCATCTGCAAGTCACTTGAGAGTATTTACAACCCTTCTTGCCAATCCTACACTATATTCCCACACTTCCAGACCACTATTAAGAGAATTAATTATCTGTAGTCTTTGAAAGTATAAACTACACTGTGTTTTAGATTCCAGAGACTAATACGTAAAGCAATCTTTAAATTTCATAAACAGGAAATTTTTCAAAAGTCCACTGTTTTGATAATGCTCCAGTGATTAGTTTCTGAAGTATTAACAACATACAGTATTGCACACTGAGAAATTGACTGATCGAGCCATCTTGCATCTGATAGTGAAGACTACTAGACACAACTTTTTAATGCCAAATGTGTTGGTAACAATGTTAAACTTCCTGTGTGCTGATTCAAATTAGTTAATTTTAGTTTTCATTTTTACAGACACAATCTGTCACACTTTGATTCACAAGAGGCAGTATCTGTTATATCCATCTGCATGGTTTTACTACTTAAGAAAAAGGTAGCTCTAAGAAACAAACATCAGAAGGTGAGAAACTCAAGGGAAACATAAGAGAAATTCAGATGCAGTAAAAGAAAATCTGAAAGTTGTTGAAAGTAAGGCTAAGGACACACATAATTTTCTGGAAACCATGGTGCCCTAGGTATCTTCATAGGGTTCAAAGAGATGATATATATAGATTTCTAGTAATACCACATAAAACCAATGCAAACTCAAAGCAGTTGAAGCTTTGGCCAGATCCCAGTTCCTCTACAAAAGTGTAAAATTAACAGAAATATCTGTTCTACAAAAGGTATTTTGGGATTTAAAAATATCAAAATGTCACAAAATAATGATAAATTCCTTTAACATAAGAAGACCCACTTTATGCAAGCTTTTAAAGTATTTTGAAAAATAGGCCTCAGATTCGTTCTTGAGAGTAACTATCAATATTCTTTATGATTAAAATATGGTTTATATTTAAGATATAAGGTACTTTATACATAGTTCCTTCAGATTAAAATAATTTTTTTCAAGTGACAATGGTGTCTTCTAATTATAACAGAAATAGGTAGAAAAAAATTGGTGGAAAGCAGAATAGTTCTGTTTAGACCCAATTAGTCTCCAATCAAAAAACCTAATCAAGTCCTGAATTTGACATGTCATATTCAGCTTTGAAAATAGTAAAAAACCCCAACCAATTCAAAACACAGGAAAAGCAGAGACTTAAAATGAAAAAAAATGATTTGTGAGACCCCAATATATTCTATAAGGCAATTTCACACTAAAAGCCTGAATTTTGAGTAGGAACTTGACTACCTAAGATGATTCATGTTTGATTGTAATGGAAACATAGGAATTTTGTTAAGGAAATTTTCAGAAGACTGAAAAAAATGAACAGTTGAAAAACTGTCTCAATCAGCTATTTGTTTTGAAATCATAATCATCTGATCTCTCAAGACTTCTTGAAGATCTACAAAGCATCCCATCACTTTGAAACATTCTGTAACTTTCTCAGGACTAATATATCTAGCTAGAACAAGACTGAGAGTACAATCAATGCTTCTCAGAACATGACTATTTTTTCATGTTTACAGAAATTATAATTTTATAATTTTGCTTTTAACTCCAAACCTGGAATTATAAGCCTAAACACAGAGCTAATAAGAAGGTATATAAAGGAAAATTGTATTTCCCAAATATTTCAAATGTGACCATTTACTTTCCAAAAGATCAAACTATTCTGTGTTCCATGAACAAACAGGCCTTTATCACAAGAGTAGATATTAGACGGTATTCTAATAGATGAGAAATAGATCTTTACAATTTCAAGAAATGTTGATTAATTGGACTTTAAATATCATCGTAAGAAGGATAGAAAATTCTTGGTACATTTCAAACACTGAGAGTAAGAAAGCTGACAATTGGATTACAATAGACTGCCTCGGAAAACCAGATAAACCCCAATCAGACTTTTGTTCAATATTTTGTTTGTAAGATTTTGCTTTCACTACTAGATATTGTTTATTTTCAAATATATGTTTCACTCAATCTGTCATGGTTCCTTTGTGAGGTACAAGAATGGCAAGAATTCAACTTACCATTCAGAAGCAAAATTCGTCATACAGTATAACATTAAAGAGACTCACATTTCTCCGTAAGTAACATTCAAGGTTGTATTTTATTTCTTCCTGAGCCAGAATATTTTTTTTATTTTGCAAGGATATACTGTAGAAACATACCTTGCCAAGTCTGAGAGGGCAAAAATCATTAACCAGTGAAAACACTACCTGCAAATAGTGTTATAAATAAAAGGCATACTAGATTTTCTCATTCTTTTAGGTTTATGTGGTAAGGTTTTGGTGGCAGCAGTTAGTGTTTAGACCAAGGGGTGGTGAGCTCATTAACAACATTGTTAGTGTCTCAGTGATAACATATTTTAAAACTATGCTGCAACAGGAGTGAGAAAAACATGGTAGTGACAGTTGTACAGACACCAAAGTCAGAGAAGAAGGAGTGAGCAGAGGTGCTTCAAATGCCAGAACAGGTTCTATGCAGCCTATGGAAAGGACTGTGGTGAAGCAGGTTGCTCCCCTGCAGGCCAGGAAGGACACATCAGAGCAGATACACGCACTGCAGTCTGTGCAGAAACCCACACAGAAGCAGTTTATCTGAGAGGACTGAGCCCAACGGAAGACCCATGAGGAGCAGTCTGCTCCTGAAGGACCATGCCCCATGGAAAGCATATGCACTGGAGCAGTACTTGAAGAACTTGCCTGGTGGGAAAGACACACATTCCTACAGTTCACGAGGAAGCCACGGAAAAGACCCAAGCAGCAGCAGGAGAAAAGTATAAAGAGAAGGGGGCAGCAAAGACAGTGTTACAAGCTGACCAGTTTCATTCTCCACCTCCTTGCACTGCTCACTGGGGAGGATGTAGAAAAGTCAGGAATGAGGAAGTGAAGTTAAGCCTGGGAAGAGCAAGGTGAGAAGGTATATTTGATTCCCATTGGTCTACTTAAAATAACTTGTCACGTTCATACAGTAAAACTCACTGAAGAAGTGTTTAGAAGTCCACTGTGCCGTATATTTTTTATTAAATACTCACTAATTTAAATATTTCTTTTATGTACTTTTTGTGCTTTTAACTTTCATTATTTGGAGTATCACCAAGAGAAATAAAGACAACTCAGCTATACCACCTCTGCTTCAGCTTTTCCTACTCACTTGAACGGTCTTTGTATCACTGATAACCAGATCTACATTCAGAATATATTATAATATATTCCTACTTAAACTGCTCTTTGGTTGATCCCAAACCAAGGGCATAATCAACCAGTATTTCAGTGGACATTTGCCAAGATTAGCTGCCAATGCTTTAACCACTTTGTCTATTGATCGTCTCCTCCCAAATGCCATGCAATGAAATGGAGCTAACAGTTCTTGGTTCTCTATTCCTTACACAGACAGATCCCAGTCTTACAGAAAAGTGAAACAAATGGACCTGTACCATGAAAGCATCAATCGTGTCTATATGCTCCATAAGCTGGAACTGCACTAAGATTACTGAGAATCAATCACCAATACATAATTAATGGTCTGTTTACTTGCTTCAGAAAAAGAGCAGCAGTCAAAATATTTTACTTGAAGCAACCAGGCCTAGCTACTTAACAGATTTATAAGAAACAAGACACAAGTATTTTCCAAAGCTCACTACACAGATTTTAGCAATTAATGTCAAAGGAATAAACTATTCAGTGTAATTGAGATGGATTCATACAAAGTTTTTATTTAAAATATCCTCTAGTAATTGAACAAAAGTGTTTACTGTTATCATTCTAAGCTACTAAACTTACACACACACACATACAGAGTTAATGGAACCCACAGGCTACTGAAGAGGCACTTTATCAAATTCAGCTGTAATGAAAGATAAATATTACAGGCAATTCACACTTCATGAAAGGATAAAAGTGTCAGTGTATAGGTACCAGTTTTACTGCAGGCCATAATCAGCAAGTAAACGAAAGTGCAAATGTCTAAAAAGTTTATAGCCCTCTATGAATGCCTCATCGTGTCAGGTATTGATTTAGGTTTCCAGAGGACTTCGCCAGTGTTAAACAACATGAGTGTCTGTGAACTTAAAGAACATGTTTTACTTCTGCAGATGCCATGTGTTACCTGTTACCACCTGTAGTTGTCTCAAACTAAATTTTAAGATGCTCCCATTGCTTTAATATAAGGGAATAGAAGAAACTGTTCCTTACACAACTATTTTCTTCTTAAACAGAGGGCAGTCCAGAGTGAATGTTTCATATTCCCCTCCTTCTCCACAAACATGGACTCCATATTTCTCAGAGAGCTATCAAAAAAGAGAAATTGAAACATGTAAATATTACACTAAATAAGTTTATTAAATATATTTTGCTGAAAATGTCAAAACCACTAAATACTAGTTGCTAGTACATACTACTATTGCTAGTAGCATGCAACTGCTAGTTCCATACTAGTACATGCATGGTTAAACCATGACATGTACTTTCTAAAAGACTATGCATTACAAGGCTGAAAAAACCAATCATCATAGAGTCAGGTCTTGATTTCTTTGTATGCCTCTAACAGTGATTAAGAATTACTGATGTGTTACATTTTAAGTAGAACTGGCACAGGAGTATTTAGATTAACAAATTGATTCCTAGTTCTTCTTTCTCAGTGGTCATGAAAGCTTGTTCATACTCCCATACTTGTCTTTCTTTAGTATATCTATTTCACTTGGAGGAGAAACTTTTACTGTTGGTCAACAAAAGAAGTAGCATTTTACAAAGAAGTATACTATGAACACATTTTTTTACAACAGATTCAGAATCTGTATTCTATGTTTAGGTAAATATTCTTTCAAAAAAATCTAACAAAACAAATGAGAATTTTCTAAGTCAAAAACAAAAAGCTAAAGCAATATCTACAGAGAAACATGTTGTTTCTTTTATAAATTGTATTTCATATACTTGCTAAATCAACATATATTTACAAATACTCCTGAAGCTCTGGATATCTCACTTAAATACATAACTAGATAAATTTAAATATTCAAAATATGAGACATGACTATCTTAATTAATTCCTGCTTTATAAATGAGCAGCTGTGGAGCATGAACCGAAGTTCTTTTGCTGGAGTAAGGAGCACATAACTGTTCATTAGCTCACTGTACAACTGTTTCAATGTACTGTATTGATAGACAGCAATCAAGCACCAGATCTGAGCATGGGGACACCCTCTCTTGTCTACAGCAGAAATTCATGTCCCCAGCAGCAAATTGTATCACCTTATAAAGTCACTGCAGTGATTCAAGCCAAACCCTGTCCAGGCTTTTTAGCATTAAACAAGCACTAACATTCTGCTTTAAGTGACTCATAAGAATTGAACTGCAGTCCTTAACTCGATTGCTGCAAACACCATTGTTACTTTTGGGAATATTTATTTAACCCCTTTAAGCCTCTCCTTAGAGGAACAGAAGACCACTCATGTTGCTTCTGCAGTCAAAGTAGAAATACAGTTCTCCAGAACATCAGAGGGCTACAAAAAGTCTGTCTGGAGGTTAGAAGATAATTCCAAATCTACTGTTTCTTTTGAGGCAAACATAAGACTGGGATATTTATACATCATAGATTACATTTTTATGTAGTTACTAAAATATCTGTGTAACAAGTCTATTATGTATATTCAAATGATACCATGTTTTTATTGTTGAAGCTGAATGTAGTTCCTGTTACTTTACAGTTCTCTTTTAAAACTTCTTACTTAAAAACTTCCAAGAGTGTTTATAACTTCAGTTACTTAAACTAAAGGCTGAATCATCTTCAGCCATTATTTTGCAGAAAAGGAAAATGGTCTGAGAAAATAATACCTTGGTAATGTTCTATGAGAATATTTAGTTGTGTGGTGCCTCAAAATCTCTTTTGGAGCATGTTTGAAACATTTTTTCAGTATCTTGTTATGAGAGTTATTTTTAATTTTCCTTTTCACATTTTCTTTCAAAGAAAAGGAGCAAAAGAGAACCTTTAATCAAGTGCTCATTAAAAAATTACATTCCTGACATAAAAGAGAACTCCATCTGTCAACAATGGCAACAAGGTTACTACAGGACAAATATATCAGGGATAATTACTGTTGATGCAACAAGAATGGACAACCTACAAAACAGTTAGTAAAAACCTTTTATCCTTACTTTATTGAAAAAAACAAACAAACAAACAAAAACCCTAAAGAAAACCATTAAAAAATTGAAAGAGAGAAAACCAGAAGAGATCTTTCTAACTGTAACCTTTCCACAGCGAATACATGGAGTGACTGTTTACAAATCACTTTCAAAATTGGTAGCTCTGCTTGTAAACAGTGACTAGAATAATTATTGGCAATTCGCATTGAATACTCAGAAGATCTGAGACTATTTCCTATCTTTGTTGTGAGAAATTTCATTTTCAATGTCACTGGCTTCAACATCATTCTTGACACCAATTATACAAAGTGTTAAAGGGTTTTCAGTTCTCACAAATGTCAACAGGACCAAAAGATATTTAGCAGCTCATAGAACAGATCCTCAACGTTCATTTAACAAAGTCAGCAATATTTTATAAATGTCATCAATGGCATGAGAATTTTGCCTGTTAATAATTTAGAATATTAATATTATTTGAAGACTGATTATTTGAGTTTGCAAATTGGATGCTAAATTAATAATAACAGGACATCATAGACTCTAAGTTTTATGATTGCTAAATCTGCCTTCTAGTACAGATGAGCCAGAAAACTGCAAATTTATAACTCAAACATAACTAATTGCAAGTAATACAAGTCCATTTCAAACTCCAAAAGAAATCTATGATGAAACCATCTTCCAGACTACACAAAGTTTATATTAAGTACACAATGAGATAAAGGATACATATATAAATGAGATACATAAAAATGACTAGTGCAAACATTACCTGAAGAACAGTCTCTTCCTACCTTGAGAATGAAACACAAGGATTAAAGCTTCCTTCTTTAACTTGCATAACCAAAGATAAATATTTGAATTCAAGTGCTTCCTTTTTTCTTTGTTCCCTTTCAGAAATTTTAAGACTTAAAAACTCTCATATTTACAGAAATGCTCTGTACATCAAGATGTTCTCATCAACTTTTGAGGCAAGCATAGAAATAAACATTTTCCTATTGCCTATTGGCAGAGATAGAATTACAAACAAATATAAAATTAATGTCCATTTGCCATTCTATTAACAAGTTCAAAGGAGAGTCGGACCACAACCTGAGACATAAGTTGACAGAAAATTCTTTAGTGTAAAAAGCTGAGAGTCCCGTTACAGAGGAAACATTGGGACATGAAAGTAATTTAATAATTTAGCAATTATCTAGCAACCACTCCTCAAAAACTAATCAAAGACCTATCAATTAGAAAAACGCAATTCAAAAACTTTCCTTTCTGCAATGCCAGTGTCCTGAGCCAGTAATATGCACCCCTGCTAAAAGTATGGGTGGCAGATCATCATTGCACTCGTAAGTTCAACATTCTGAAAGTAATGTGAAAAAAATTGCAAAAAATTTTTCCCACTCACTAATCCTCCATTTTTCTGCTGCTACAGCAGAAAAAAGCCCCTCACCTTTATGCCAGTAATTATTATAATTTCTACTGTACACATAAAGTAAATAAGAAGACTGAAAGTTTAGGTGATAATATGTTTTCAAAGTCAAATAATTGAGTGGAGGAAGTCAGGACTGGCTTTTGGATTTATTTGTTGGGGATGTTTTCTAACCAACACTCTTATAATGCCGCAACCAGAGATTTTTTGCTAAAAGAAGAATCACTAGCTCATGCTAATTTCTTATATATCCAAAAGACAAATTCTAACAGGTGCATTATAGTAACAACAAGTTAATTTTGGTCTCATCGACTGTTCCTTAAGGTAAATGTTTTGTTAAAAAAAAAAAAAAAAAAAAAGAAAAAAAAAGTGAGTGACCTCTATTTCTAGATGCTTTCCAGATCTTTCCAGTATCAGAGAAGCTGAACGTTGTGAGTACATGCTAAAAGTAAAAGATACTCCCTGCAAGTCCCAAATTACTCAACATGTATGACATTTTGTGGCTCTTTATCAAAGACACTGGGGCACTGATAATTTTGGGGCACTGAAGTTATTCAGATATAAAGTGATTTTCAACAGAACTGAAGAACATAGAAAACATAACTTTATTAATTCCAAACAGAACTACAAAAATTCTCACTTGCACATCACATTAGGAAAAATGCCATAATGAAATACCCTGCACCTAGCTGAATAAACAACTACAGTAAAGTAACATCAGATGTCAACACAAAACTCAAAAAAACTCCAACAAGAAAAACAAATTTATTATAAAATTTGAAATTATTGGTTAGATAATAGAGTAAAAATCAAAGATCACGAGTATATAAAGCCATGGCAATTTTGGATATGTGCAGTGTTAAACATTAAATCATTATGGTGTTTTATATGGTATAGTCAGAATATTAAATCGTATCTCTCTTCCTTACTGGAAATTGTGAACTCCTTGTTTTCACATTCTATCTGCCAGAACTTCTAATTCTGAAAATTTCACTGGTTTGCAAAAGAGTATTTTTGACATCGTTAGTATTTTTCTTCAGTTTATAGTTAATGATTTGGTTTTATAAGGCCTTAAAGCCAACTAAGTATCTAGTAAAAAATAGTATTTGTATTGGCTTTGACTTTCATAGTATACATATGCACAAGAAACAGACAAATGAACAAATAACCAGTTGTGCAGTCTTCCCTACAGTGGCCTGACAAGCACTTCAAGCAGTGTCAGAATGCCCTACTTGTACACTTTAGCCAGTCATTGTTTTGTTTATAGTTGTATCAATAAAAGATAAAACCATCAAATGTGTATTTTGAGAAGTGTTAAACCATGACAGTAATAATTTCAGTGAAACCAAGTAAGTAAGAATCACTTCATTAAGACATCAAACATGAAGATGAATATATGCAATTAACAAAAAATACTAGGTACTTTTGGATTTAATAGTTTATTATTTTCTTTTAAAAATGAGTGATGGTGAAATCAAATGCTGAAGAATACTTCTTATTAGCACAATTAAAATTGCAATACTTGCTTCTACAGTTTTAAAGATTGATTCAGCTGAGGTGAGTAGTTATCCAGCTGCAACCCCTCTGAGGCTGCAGCCTGAATTTTGATTGCAGAAGCTTTCTGTGAATGCAGAATGTTGAGATGATTTTAAGAAATAAGTGAAACAAGTCTTCCAAAAAAAGATAATGAATGGGATTGTATACCAGCTAGTTTACAAAGCAGAGGGCCAGGGAGGAGGAGGGGAAGATTTCTGAGCAAATTCTCCAGCTCTGAAGCAACAAACCTCAAGTTAAGAATAGACCAACACCATCTCTTCAGGTAAGGTTATTTGAATGTTATGGACCTTAATTATTCCTTTCCAGATTTCCCAAGCAGCAACTATCTTCTTCTCCCCATGTAAATAAATAAAAAATGGAGTTAAACATAAGATATTATTGTTATGTAACTCATCTATCTTTTGGTAGAAAAAGAAATTTTTTTAAGTTATGGCTACTTTTTCTTTCTCTTCTGCAAATTTGCCATACCCTTAAGTGTTCTAGAACAAACTACTTAAGAAGCCAGACTGACCAGAAATTACCCAGATTAACAATTAAAAGTATTTTCAGGACATCGCTTTGTGGACATTTAGACAGCCTACAGTGAAAGCTACATCATGACCATTTTAAGAGACATGCAATAAAACAGGCTCAAGGACAAGGAATTGTGGTGAACTGGCATTGCCACAGACATTATATGAAAACATAATTTCAGAACTGTTATTGTTAAAATTTACTTAGCTTGATGTTTGATGCTTCTACATCAAACTGAAAAAAGCCTCATGTACAAAATCTGGTCTTTTTTCTTTTCCCTAGTTGAATGATTTGTCTTTAAACAAATCTACCAGCTCTGCCAGCAAACATTATCCTGGTATGAGGAAACAAAGTCCTTGCACAGAATTAAATATATCCTCAAGAATACACCTCATTCCATTTTTAAAGGCCTCACTGTATGCAGTCTGATTGTATAAACAGTGGGAAACCTGCAAACAGGAATCTTCAGGTAAGTTTTGTATCACCTATGATTTTGCCACTACTATTTCTTGCTGTGAAAGTCTCTAATGTACAATTATTTAGCTGTATCATATTGATATACCAGTCAGTGTTCCTGCAATATTGAGTTTTCATGCCTTTAGTCTGTTTTAAAGATGGTGATACCATTTGTGAACTATATAAAGAAATAATGTTTTTTGATATGAAAGGCGTTTAGCAAAGGCTTATATTCTGTATACAAAGCCAAGCTTTGGGTTAACATCTAATTCATGAAAGTTAAGTAATTTTTATTAAGTTAATTTTACTGAATTTCTGCTGGTGTTTCTTTTAAACTGCAAGTTTAACTATATTAATATCCTTTAAGTAATACTCACCTCCAGAAGAACAGGTTCCATTTCACCTAGAGTTTTTCCTAGATGCTTATCTGGATCTAAACCTGCAAAAAACCCAAAAAAATGTAAAAATATTTCTTATGAAGTACTCTTATAACAGCAGCAACTGTTATAAGAACATCAAGAAATGTTTTTTTTTTCTTTTTAAAATATATAACGTCTCCCTTAGAAACTCCACATTATCTACAATAATTACCATCCTAAAGAAAACACACTGATTCTGAATTTTTCCTAATCTTTGGGAAAATATTTTCCAGGTTTATGGAAAAACAAAGCTTGTTACCATTTCATTACATGTCAAGTGGAAAAGCTATTTTTTCCCTTTCTTAGAAAGTTCATTAACCAGTGAAGTAAACACACAGGTAATAAAAATACTACAAGGATATTACCTCTTTAAGTCAGAAGTTACCTTTGCAGATACTATGGAATTAAAATGCAATTGAATTTTTTTTATGCTTCCTGCAACTGGAAGGAACACAGGCTCATAAGGAAAAGTTCTTTTGCCAAATCCCATTCTTTGTGTGTTTTATGCACATAAAATATAAGATTATGCACATAAATTGTAAGATTAAAAAGGATGGAGATATAAAGAAAACTCAGACCTACAGAACGTATTGAACGTTGTACATTTAGATCCATCACAAAATATTCTGTATGATGTTTATATTTTGATTTGTTTTTCTTGTAAAGTAAGCCCTATTAACACTTGATAGCTGCTCTAACTTGCTCCTCGTATTCCTGTTTCAATTTCTTGATTTTTTTAATTTTGGACAGCTCATGGTATTTAATATTCCCTTCTCAGGATAAACCAACTAACTGGCAAAAATGAGCAGAGGGATAAAATAATTCAGGAACAACTGTTTCAAAAACTGACATGTTCAACCAAGTAAATATACTAGTTGGATTTGATACAAAGTGGTCAAAAGGTCTTACCCTATGAATTAATTGAGAAAAAAGAAAATTATAACTCCTGAAACTGAAGAAACACTGTGAAATTTTCAGTTATCTCATTTTTTACTACCCTTAGTTATTGTGGTTTGGGCTCCTTTTTGTACTGATACAATACTTCTCTATTTTTCCTACTCTACTGCTTCACACAGTAATAGGTATCATTACAGAGCTGCCACTAAAATTATTCCATTCAGAAGCAATTTCTAAAATTTGTACCTTGCAAAGCACTTCAGATTGTTGATGATGAAAGCTGTTATATAAATGTACAGTACACTATTATATAAAGTCATTGCTGAGTTAAAATAGCTAATATGTCACTTAATTTTTGCAATCGTGATCTTGGTATATTTAAATTCCTGTGAAATTAAAACAAGTTAGAGTGAATGAGATTTCAAAACACTACGAAAGTTTTTAAATATTTCATTAAAGCACATAAAAAAATCCCTTACATTGTAGGGGAATACTTTTAAAACTGCTTAATAATTAAAGTTTAAAAATACTGAAGTTTTTTTTTGCCCTCTATTCCTTTTTTGTATTGGTTTATTGCTTTTTTTAAACAGACTAAAATGGTATGTGCTAGATATGTGATAATAATTTATTCTTGTTGAAATAGTTTTGAAATGTATTAATTCAATTTAAATAGTTCAAATAGTTCTGGTGATGTCTTCCAACTTACATCAAGTTAGCATTTTGTCCTCGATTATAATGGAGTAGGTATTAGGCCAAACAAGCAATTTCTCTTGATGTAAATTAAAGAGTACTGCATTACAGTACCATTTCACGCACTTACATTAACATTCTTCCTTTAATATAATTACTTTGCTAAGATAAGCAACCTCTCTCTCCTTGATAAAAAAAGATTGATTTCCTCTAAATTTAAACCAAGGGATACATTACAAACATATGAGAATGGAAGAAGTTGTCAGAACCAGACACACTGACATATTATTTCTTTCACAAGGTTCTCTTTGAACATATCTTCTGTCCAGTAATGAATGCAAACCAATAATTTAAAAGAAACTATGATACAAATAGTTTAAGAAATACAAATAAATTGCCTACGTATATACTATGGGTAAACTCTTTAAGTGATATCCCACACCTACATGAAAATCTGTGAAGTGCAAAGTACTCTTCCTGTTTCTCAGCAGAATCCTATTTTTGGACGGCTTGCATTTATTTTGAAACATAGTACTTCTTTTAGCTTCCAATAGGTTTATATTGTGAGTGAATAGAGACTGTCTGGTAAAGGCATCAGGAACCAAGGTAACTTTCAATTTGCAGAATCAGTAATCCACATCTCCAATCTCTACTGCTATGCATGCATAGGTGAAGCTGTATATCTGTTGCTACAATTAGTATAATAAAGTATTTGGAACTATACTTACAAAATAGTTTTTTAAATCTATACTTCTATTTGGTACACTTTTCTTTATTGATTCAGATTCTTAAAATGGCTTAGACTAACAAGAAGAACAACGTATTGTAAATTCTTAGTACCGCATCCTCCAAATTTATCCTCAATGGAACTGAGTGGATGGATAAACCAACAACAAGGTCCAGGGCCTGGATGACTCTATGTAGAATTAAAAAATTAATTAGGAACGGAACTATAATTTGCAGGACTGACATCTATTTTATTTAACTTACATGTACCAATGGGGGGCAATTAGAATTCAATTAAAATATTCACTTTTATTACTTCCCTGACTGACCTTGAAGTTAATGCCTGTTTTATTTAATTGCATCATCTATGAATAAATGTTAACCCTAGAATGTTATGGCCCATTATTTTCAATGCATTTTTAACTCCCCAACTGAACTACATCCATCAACTTATTATGTGCTGCCAAGAGAGCAAGTGGGGGTTTATTTCTTTGATAGACTAATATATGATAACAGAAACATCTAAAAAAATTTGATAATGCTGTTTTTGACAGTGTTTAGTATAAAGAATTGTGCTTTCAATTCCAGTTTTGTAGTCTCGTCTGACTGTAAATCAGTAAGCGACAGCACAAATGGTCTAATCACTTTAAAGTAATTTCTACTCCATCTATAGTTCCTGATAAATCCACTGACAGGAGCAGAACTCCTTCCTACAGATATCAACAATGCTTGCAGAATGCTCTTATGTACAGCTACAAGACTAGTGTAGAGGACTGCCGCAATGTCAAGAGATTGGAGCAGAAATTAATGGTTTTGTTTTGTGGTGAAAAAAAGAACATTATAAAAAGGCATTTCACTACTGCTGAGCTATGCAAAAGAAACATATTTTAAATGGTTTACTTTGTACATATGTATTAGTGTAGCATGAAGCCCTCACCTGAGAGGCAACTACTTGATATTACTTGCATTTATCAAGACCATTAGAAATCCAAGTTACCTTTTCATGGCATTACATTCAGCTAAAAAAAAATTCCATATTCTAAAGCCTTATCTGACTAACAAGAACATGTTTGATACATGTTCAGAATTTTAAAATTGTCCGGATTCTTAAGAAAGTATTTTAAAACAAAAAATTCTATTTTCACTTCTTAGTAAAATTTCAAATAAATAAAAATAAAACATAATTACCAGTTTTAAGAAATGTTGGCATATAAAGCTTTTCTGAAAGCTACACTGAACCAAACTCTAACCCATAATATATGGACACATTGTAAAAGAATCACCACCACACACAAACATCAAAAAAGTATGAGTTAACCATTATATATTGATAATATACGGGGAAAAAACCTCCAGCTCTTTCTGACTAATCAACGCAACAATTCAAAAATTTGAACTTGTTGCCCAGTGACTTTTTCCATAAAAAAAGGTAAAAAAAAAATCTCCAAAACTGATATTATCATTCTTCTTAAAATATGATGTTCGTAGAATTGGGATAGGTTTTTGGAGGAAAAAAACCTACCTGTTCTAAAGTTACAGGAGCATGAAGTTCCTTTTTTTCCCCTGACTTCTTGAGAAGTAGTATTGAGAAGAGTAGTAACTGCCATCACTATGAATGTAAGGGAATAAGACTTAACTTCTGATGATGAAGGGCTGTATAATCTAGAACAAAGTTTCTGTAGAGATCCTAATCAGCTGCTCACCAGGAGTAGAATTATTTAGAATTTTGAATAAGAAAAGAGGCAATGAAAGACTTTGGTTTTCTGGAACCAAAACTAGTTTCTTAATCTCTTTATCATAAAGAAAATAGGGTTAACAATAAGATTATAGGACCTGTAAGGTAAAGAAATACATATAGAAAGTAAAAGAGTATAAAGGATAAAGCAACCCCCATCTTAGAACTGGAACAGAGAAAATAGGACTAGTTTTGAAAGTAAATTCCTTTATTTTAACCACGTCTTTTTTTTTTTTTTCCCTAAATTAACAATACAAAATCAGTGATTTTCAAAAGGAGGGTCAGACACTATTCTTTACACAGTACAGAATACAGAAGAAAGTTTCTAATAACACCGAAAAAGCCTGTACACAACAGCACTAGCTGGTAACATAGGCTTACTATGTAGGAGTGCAGGAATGTGTTATAACATTCACCAACTAGAAGTGCACGTGCCACACAGATATTCTTGAACTGTAAATCTATACCTTAAGTTGCCTTGAGGTAAATTATTCCTGGTGTCATATTTAGCTTTCATTTCTATGAAGAGCTGGGAAGTGAACTTTTCATCTGGTAGCATAACTTGACAGGTTCATTCTTAACTTCCTCAAAACTTTCACACATGAAAGGCTGTGTTAACAATGGTGAACTGGATGGATTCCTTGGATTTCCTTTTCAAAAAAAAAATTGTAAAAACAGCTTGATTTTTGTATAAAATTAATGAAAAGTGCAATAAATACTTGGTATACTGCACATTTAAAAGATTTGAGATGAATATACTTCTAATTTATTGTATGAAAGAGGAAAATTCATGTGACTTGATTATGCATCTACTTCTCTTTTCCCCTTGCTCTTTTTCTTCTTTTTTGTCAGTATGTGGTATGTGATAATTTATCCAGTGTGGGAATTGCACCGGGATGGAACCTGCAGACATACTATAGATATAGTAACTTTTTTCAAGCTAAGTGATACTAAGTGACAAAGTTAAAAGAC